AGATATAATGGTTTATACTATTACGACTAAAAACCCTGAGTCATATAATTCTATAACAACAAACTTACAAAGTCCTCAAGGACGATATTGTAAACTAACCTTAAACACAATGACGACTAAAGCCTGTTTTGCTCTTTTGACACCAGAAGACTTTATTGTTGTGAATGGTAAAAAATACTCCTTTGAAGATACTTACTCAGATATACCACCAACAGGTTTTGTTGACTTATTTAATACTTTAAGTACGGGTGTAACATGTGCTGCAACTAGAGCAGGTTTCATTATGTTTGGATGTCCGACTGAGTTTACTATAAACGATATGAGCTATAATACAAAACTTATTTCTGGTTTTTACTACCAACAGTTTCCTATAACAGGAAAAGGTGTCATACAAGGAATGTCTATTCCATTGACATTAAGCACACCAATCTTATATATTGTTTCAAACTTAGGTTCAAAGTGTTATTCGAATGTCGACAGAAACTATTATGACCAAAAGATACTTATGCGTATAAAACAATACTTTCTCTGCTGGTTTGCCTATTGTTCATTTGAATGCAGAATTTTCAACCTTAGTGAACTCAAACACTTTGGCAAGTATAACGTTGACATTAGTTGACGCAAACTTTGTTCCTGTAAAACTTTTATGTCCTATGTATTTGTCAATGACGGCAGAAAGTTTCGAATTGGAAGATGCAACTGGTGAAAGTATTGTATTACAAGAACAACTTCAACAACAAATAGCTCAAGAACAACAAATGCAACAAATGCAACAACAAAGTCAAGAATAAAAAAAAATATTTTTTTTATTCTTATAAAAATGTACAGAATAGATGTTTCAGATTTTTATGACTTCCAAGCATTCAGAAATATGTGTCCATTTAGAGACTATAACAAAGCAGTCGAGAATTTGAAACGTTTAGTCATTTATGTCGACTCTGCCCCAGAATGTTATGTTATGAAAGAATGGGATGTAGTCTTTAACAAACCTAAAGCAACAATAGTGTCTGAACAAGAATGTAGACAGAAACTTAAGAAAATAAAAGTCGTACAAGTTGGCATGAAGATGTTAGATGCTTGGGATATCTTATTGTCAAAGTTAGAAGATTTTTCAGTTCGAGGTATAAGTTCTATACACCTTCTCCAAACTTCTATTCTATCTTCACTGGATATAAATATGAACAAGTAGAATGGAAAGAAAATATTATAGAAGCTTGGTTAGACCATGTCAAAGAAATTATATGCAATGGAAACGAAAGAGTCTATGAGTATATCTTATGTTGGTTTGCAAACATCTTACAACATCCAAGTGCTAAAAATGAAACTGCTCTCATTATAATTGGAAAACAAGGAACTGGTAAGAATACTTTCTTTACAGATATCTTATGCAAACTGTTAGAAGGTTATTTCGAATCCGAATATGACAAACTTAGAAAACATCTGTGGCAAGTTTAACTCCTCAATAGAGAATATGAAACTTATAGTTTGCAATGAACTTCAAAGTATAGATACAACAAAAGTTTTGAACTCAGATGCTTTGAAGAGTCTTATAACAGACAAAGTTGGAGTTGTTGAAAGAAAGTATAAAGACCAAAGAGTTTGTGAAAATGTTGCAAACTTCATTATGGTTTCAAACAATGCTGTTCCGATGAAGTTAGAAAGTTCTGACAGAAGATATGTAGTTGTCAGAACGTCAGAAGCTCATATGCAAGATACAGAATATTTTGACGACTTAGCAGAAACTTTGACATCTGACTTTTACAACCACTTGTTCTCATATTTTATGACATTAGATATTTCAAAGTTCAATCCAAGACAAATTCCACATACCGAAGAGAGACAAACATTGTTAGAAGCAAACAAGAGTGTATATGAACTGTTCATAGATGAAACTGACTTTGAGTGTTTAGATGAAAGGTCACTGTACGATTCGTATAAACAATATTGTCAAGAATATGGTTATATGACAGCGTCTAAACGAACATTCTTGGCAAATGTCAAAAGTCTTTTAGACGTACAGAATGGTGTATATACAAAGAAAAATTTTTATGAGTAAATTTTAAAAAAATATTTTTTTATCCGATAGAAAAAGATGGCAAAATTCATCTCAGTAACAAGTACATGTCAGGACTTAAAGAAGAACTAGACCCATTCACATATTTGAATGTTTACTTCTACCATTTTGAAAAGTCTTCATTCAGCAAAGTTTGGAACATCGAACCAGTTAAGTTTGCTATTGTGACTAAAAATGGTGCGAAATTTGAAGACTTAGACATAGAAGGTTTGTTAGCAGTCAAAGAAAGTTTTGACAGAAGGTTTTCAAACCTTAAAGAAGGCAAAGCATACAAACTTGTTATACCTTATGAACCAAAGAAAGCAGACGACTATGAATATTATGAGTCTAAAAGTTGTAGAAGTTCAAGGTAAATTGGGTAAAAAGATTTTAGAGTCTAAGCCAGTGTTTACTCCTAAAGAGGAAGAGAACATTGACATTGACCCAGAAATGTTCTAAAATAAAATTTTATTTTTACATGTCAAATTTCTTTTTCTCTGGAACTGGTTCAGGTTCTTTCTTTCTTCTTCTTTTTTTCTCTTTCTTTTCTTTCTTCTTCTTTTCTGGTGGAGTTATGTCAAATTTGGCGCAACTATATTTATGTAAAAGTTCTTTGTCCTTTAATAGCTCTTCTATTCTGTTTTCTATTTCATCTTCAAGAACAGCGCATGTGTCTTCTTTGCATTCTAAGAACTTTTGTTGGACTTCATCTTTCCAATCGGCGTCATCTCTGTCAACAAGTCTGTCATTGACAAATTTTAAGACTGCTCTGCTTAATGTTTTATGGTTTTGTCATATTCCCAGAAACAGAACTTTAGAACAAATTCACCTTTCTTGTTTACACTATGTAAGATTTTATGGTCGACAGATGTTTTGCTGTCGAAAAGCTTGTCTCGAATATAGATAGCGAAATCGCTAGACATTTTCTAAAAGATAAAAATTTTAATTTTTCTAAAAATATGTTAGAAAAAAAGTTTGCTGACATTGACAAGAAATTTGAGAATGTTTTAAACAAGAACAAGAGGAAGTTAGAAAATGCTCAGATAAAACCCATACATGACAAGTTCTTATTTGCTCAGAATGGTATAACAGGTCTAATTGCACCACCTGGGTCGGTAAGACTTTCACTTATCTTAAAATGGCTGCACAACAACAAGAACTAGATGAGAAGAACCCATTCTATGAGTTAGTTGTCATTTGTAGTACTTCTGGTCAATTTGACCAAACCGTCAATTCGTTCAAAGATATTATAAAGAAGTCTAAGTTAGTATGTATAAAAGACTCTGAGTTGTTAGATTGGATAAAGAAGTACCAAAGAAGAGTTTTGAAGTATAATGCTATAAATGAGTATATAAATTCTAAGTTTAAAGACCCTAATGAGGAAATGCAGAGAATATTAGAGAAGAAACACTTCAGAAACAAACAGAAAGAGATAGAATACATTTCGAAGAAATTGCAATCTTACGATTGGAAGACTTACCCTCATAGATGTCTTCTTATCTTAGATGACTTTGCTTCTCATCCTTTGTTAAAGAACAGAGAACAAGACATGTGTCGAATTCTTAAGAAGCTCAGACACTTTAACATCTCAGTTGTCATTTGTGTACAGACAGCAAAGAGTTTAAGTAAGGATGTTAAAAGAATACTTACTGACATTATACTTTTCCCCGGATTGTCCGAAGACGATTTCATGGAACTTATGAAAGAGTCCATGGCAGGTAAGTTTGACAGACATGAACTATGGGAGAAGTACAAAGTCATACAAGACCCTCATACTTCTTTCAGAATTCATATCTACGCAAACAAAGTTCAAATTGTAAAAAGTCAAGCTTGAAAAATCTAAGTGTTCATTTACCCTACTTGTTTGAAGTTGTCAAAATACTCTGTTATTTTTCACTGTTTTCATGAGTTTTAGGCGACCCAGATAAAAGTCGGTCTCGCTGTTCTTCACTGTTTTCATAGAGTTTTGGCGACTAAGGTTTCTTACCTACTCGCTGTTCTTCACTGTTTTCATAGAGTTTTGGCGACTAAGTTTTTTTACGTACTCGCTGTTCTTCACTGTTTTCATAGAGTTTTGGCGACTAAGGTTTCTTACCTACTCGCTGTGCTTCACGATTTTCATAGAGTTTTGGCGACTAAGTTTTTTTACTTACTCGCTGTTCTTCACTGTTTTCGTACGGAATCTCTTCTCTCGGTTTTCCGAGGGAAGCAATCTTATGCCATTTTACTCAGATTTTTGTGCTGAATTCAGCAAAAATAATGTTTAGGGTAGAAGGTTAGATCTCACCTGTTTTCTCACCTCTTTTCTCACCTCATGAATTTTCATGATTTCATCGAAACTAAACGTATATGTTTTGTCAAGACTTCTTCGTAAATGTTTTGTCAAACATGAACGTATATGTTTTGTCAAGACTTCTTCATCGTACATTCTTTGTCATGATTTCATCGAAACTAAACGTATATGTTTTGTCAAGACTTCTTCGTAAATGTTTTGTCAAGACTTCTTCGTAAATGTTTTGTCAAGACTTCTTCGTAAATGTTTTGTCAAACATGAACGTATATGTTTTGTCAAACATGAACGTATATGTTTTGTCAAACATGAACGTATATGTTTTGTCAAGACTTCTTCGTAAATGTTTTGTCAAACATGAACGTATATGTTTTGTCAAGACTTCTTCATCGTAATGAGCGTAAATCAGACAAAAATAATGTTTAGGGTAGAAGGTTAGATCTAACCTCCTTTCTACCCTCTTTTCTACCCCAGTTATTTTATAAGCGTTTTACATGGTAAACGTTATTTTTTAAATTTTGTGAAAACTCAACGGTTTGACACAAGCCCTAAAAATTATTTTACTCAGAATTTTGTTGCTGAATTCAGCAAAAATATATTTTAGGGTAGAAGGTTAGATCTAACCTCCTTTCTACCCTCTTTTCTACCCCAGTTATTTTATAAGCGTTTTACATGGTAAACGTTATGAATTCGTGAGACTCTAAACAGTTTCGTAGCTTCTATTTCTTCTTTTAGTACATCGAATGTTTTAACTATGCCGAAGGTTTCTTTATATTTCTTCTTGACATCAGATAGAAGGAAATCGTCAGCAGTTGGATAGTTTTTGTTCAGAAATTCTAACATGTCCATTTTATCTTCTGCTGGTTTTTCTGCTTCTTTCTTTAAGTCTGCATAGTCGTTTCTCATACGTTCTATCTCTTTGACGGAGTAGTTATATTTCCTCATTGCTGCTTTACATTTAGAACATTGCGGGTTCATTTTTGCGTTATATTCTGAAACCTTACCTGCTAAAACAACTAAAGCGTCAATTGCTCTCTTCATCTCAAACATAGCGGGTCTTATTTGTTTGTTCCATACTTTACTTCTTCTATCTTCATCTCTTATCTGCCATACACATTCAGCAACTAACGAAACAAAGTTGTCGTAGGTCTTAAATTCTTCAGATTTATATATGTCAGAAACATTCTTATATACCATGTCGCAATCTTTGTCCATAACCTTATGGTTGCAATGAAATCCTAGAAACTCATAGTTTACCTTTCGTATGAACTTCTTTATTTCTACTGAGTCAGTTGGTTTCACTTCTATTTCATCGAATTCAGGAATAGTGAGTTTTTGTTGTTGGATTTCAGGTAGTTTGGGTAAATGGTCGATGAGGTCCTGCATTTCATAAAGATACTGTTCATTTGTTTCATCTTTCGCACTAAAGTCTAAATTACATGTTAAAAGTTCTTGCTTTATCTTCTGGATTTCTGTTTCAAAAGTATATGAAGAAGGAATGAAGCTTTTCATCTCTACTAACATTGACGTAGGATTCATGACTAACGAGTTTGGTGCTGTTGTTTGAATTGTTGTTGTGCCGATTGTTGACATTTTTATTTTTTTTATACAAAATAAAAAAATAAAAAAAAATAAAACTAACTTTATTTTTTATTTCGGGAAAATTCATGAAAATTCAAGAGGTGAAAAAACAGGTGAGATCTCACTTCTTCACCTAAATTATATTTTTGGGTCCTTTACACTCATTACGAAGAAGTCTTGACAAAACATTTACGTTCATGTTTGACAAAACATTTACGAAGAAGTCTTGACAAAACATGTACGTTCATTACGATGAAGTTTTGACAAAACATTTACGAAGAAGTTTTGACAAAACATTTACGATGAAGTCTTGACAAAACATTTACGTTCATGTTTGACAAAACATTTACGAAGAAGTCTTGACAAAACATTTACGCTCATTACGATGAAGAAGTCTTGACAAAGCATGTACGTTCATGTTTGACAAAACATTTACGATGAAGTTTTGACAAAACATTTACGCTCATTACGATGAAGAAGTCATGAAAATTCAAGAGGGTAGAAAACAGGTGAGAAAACAGGTTAGATCTAACCTTCTACCCTAAACATTATTTTTGCTGAATTCAGCAACAAAATGAACGAGGTCAGGATGTATGTAAATACATTTGAATTCATTCATAACACCCTTAGTAAGCTCATAAAATGCTTGTTTTGAGGTCGAGCCACTTTTGGCTCCACCGTATTCTTTCAACCAAAACTCAAGAATTTCCTGCATGAATTTTGTATAAAAAGCAACCGTCGGAATTCAGACTGTTGCTATATTCTTCACAAAACATTTACGCTCATTACGATGAAGAAGTCTTGACAAAACATGTACGATGAAGTCATGACAAAACATATACGAAGAAGTCTTGACAAAACATTTACGATGAAATCATGACAAAACATTTACCCGACATTCTCGTCAAATACAAAAAAATGACACTTTTTCATTAGATAACTGTTATTTTTTGACGAAGTGAACATTGACACTTCGTCAAAAAAATCCCTGAAATCATATCTTACATACAAAATAAAAAAATAAAATGACACTTTTTCATTAGATAACTGTTATTTTTTGACGAAGTGAACATTGACACTTCGTCAAAAAAATCCCTGAAATCATATCTTTTATACAAAAAAATGAAAAAAATGACACTAACTTTATTTTCTGACTTTCACAAAAGACCAAAAATAAACGCTTTACATGTATTTTTCAGCAACTTCGTCAAATAATTTTATAGCTTTATCTATCTCATCTACTTCAAACGTTTCTTTACCTTTTATGGGAGCACCATACATTTTCTCAAAAACTTCAAGCAGTTCTGTTTCTGCAGCTCTCATATCATTAACGAACACAACCTTGACTCTATTGACTGTAGAGTCATATCTTAGAGTTATATTATATGTTCTTCCTATCTTATATCTTTTTGTGTTGAAGTCCTTCGGTTTCTGAACGATGTAAAGTAAGCCTTCACTGCAACGTTCCGTATCGAATGAACCATATGTTATGAAGTTATATCCAACAACTGGGTCTAACCATAACAAAACTATTGGTATAAGACTTTTGTCTATAAGATATGCTGTAGTTCCATAGAATCTTACCGATATTAAAAGCTCAGGATTTCTTGTCAAAATTTTCTGAGTAGAAGCAATTTTAACCCAGTCCTTCGGTCTCTTTCCAGATGGAGATAAAATGTCTGACAAAGAATATTTGTTGTATTTCTTTGAGTATCTTACGTTTAAATCACCTATTCTAACCAATTTGGTGTCATTGTCTATCTTTTTAACTGTTTCAAACTCAATGTTTGTCATATATGTTCTTACATACAAAATAAAAAAATAAATAAAAATAAAACTAACTTTATTTTTTCTATCTTAAGGAAACTCATGACAAATTCAAGAGGGTAGAAAACAGGTTAGAAAACAGGTTAGATCTAACCTTCTACCCTAAACATTATTTTTGCTGAATTCAGCAACAAAATGAACGAGGTCAGGATGTATGTAAATACATTTGAATTCATTCATAACACCCTTAGTAAGCTCATAAAATGCTTGTTTGAGGTCGAGCCACTTTTGGCTCCACCGTATTCTTTCAACCAAAACTCAAGAATTTCCTGCATGAATTTTGTATAAAAAGCAACCGCCGGAATTCAGACTGTTGCTATATTCTTCACAAAACATTTACGCTCATTACGATGAAGAAGTCTTGACAAAACATGTACGATGAAATCATGACAAAACATATACGAAGAAGTCTTGACAAAACATTTACGATGAAATCATGACAAAACATTTACCCGACATTCTCGTCAAATACAAAAAATGACACTTTTTCATTAGATAACTGTTATTTTTTGACGAAGTGAAGGTTGACACTTCGTCAAAAAAATCCCTGAAATCATATCTTACATACAAAAAAATACAAAAAAATGACACTTTTTCATTAGATAACTGTTATTTTTTGACGAAGTGAAGGTTGACACTTCGTCAAAAAAATCCCTGAAATCATATCTTACATACAAAAAAATACAAAATAAAACTAACTTTATTTTTTCTATCTTAAGGAAATTCATGAAAATTCAAGAGGGTAGAAAACAGGTTAGAAAACAGGTTAGATCTAACCTTCTACCCTAAATTATATTTTTGGGTCCTTTACACTCATTACGAAGAAGTCTTGACAAAACATTTACGAAGAAGTCTTGACAAAACATTTACGAAGAAGTCTTGACAAAACATTTACGAAGAAGTCATGACAAAACATTTACGAAGAAGTCATGAAAATTCAAGAGGGTAGAAAACAGGTTAGAAAACAGGTTAGATCTAACCTTCTACCCTAAATTATATTTTTGGTCCGGGAACAACTTTCTCTCAATTGGAGCTGTAGCATACTCTTTGCGTAAACGGTTCAGACCTTCTTCGAACTCTTGGTCTCTCTTCGATTTGGATTGAGATTGGAATTGCTGGGGTGGAGCTTGCTGGAACATCCAAGGGTTGGGGAAGTAAGGCATAGGCAGAGGAGGGTAGTTCGGGAAGCCTTGTGGTGGGTAGTAACCTTGAAGTGGAAATTGGTAGAAATTTGGTGGAGGTACTTGCTGGAACTGAGGTTGCTGAGGAGACTGTTGTGGTTCTTTAGGTTCCTCTGGTTTGGGAATGGACTGGGTTGGTGGGACGTGGGACATTCGTTTGTGTCCTGTCAGAAGGAAGAACTTTTCCTGTTGGAAGGAAAAACTTTTTCTGTCGGAAGGAAAAACTTTTTCTGTTGGAAGGAAAAACTTTTTCTGAAGTTCGACCAAAAAGTTCTCAATTTTCGAAAATTTGAATGGTTTACGGACGGAAAACTGGAAAAACTTTTTCTGTCGGAAGGAAAAACTTTTTCTGTCGGAAGGAAAAACTTTTTCTGTCGGAAGGAAAAACTTTTTCTGTCGGAAGGAAAAACTTTTTCTGTCGGATGGAAGGACTCGGAATGCCAGAAGGATTTGACGAGGCAGTTTACCTAATTTAAATAAACGACTGCGTAAAAGACTACTTGCGCAAGGTCATGAAGCCCAAGGTCAAGTTCACCACTATTTCTGGAAGGGCTGCCTTGAATCTCGAGACTTCGACTGGAATTCCAATTCAAATACCAGAAAACACTCCTTTCGACGACATAAAGCAAGCAAAGAAAGAAGCTCTTGTTAAGTTCCTAAACAAACGTCCTTGGATACAACTTCCAAACAAGGAGAACCCCCTACCCCATATGAAATTGGCAATTCAGTCTCTCCTTCACTTCTCGGGTCAACCATTCTACATAACCTGTGAAGGCGACATCCAACCAGTTCAGTAAACCTTAACGTTTAACTGCACTTTTTTATGTTTTTTGTGAAAGTGTCAAAAATAAATTGTTTTCATGAGTTTTCTACGATGTTAGAAAAAATGTTATTTTCTAATATCTTCACATTCAATACTTTTTCAGCACTTTTCCGTAGTTATATATGAAAGACAATTCGAGATAAAAGTCATAGTACAATGGAATAATATGTTGCACACCATTTGTTGTGAACCAAACTTGAAAGTCAGAGAAACTGTTACTAGGTGGTTCGTAGAATTTAGAAGCAAAGTCATAAAAGTCCTTACCAATACATAGAAAACTATTGTTGCTTGAACTGAAACTTGCATGACACATAACATTTTGAGGGTCAAACACGTTTCTATAAACTGTCAAATCTGCTGGTGGAAGTATAAATTTAAATGGACCATCTGGTGGTAATGGTTCGTTCTGGTTTAGTAACCGAAGAAATTGTGCCCAAGAACGTTTGTCTACTTTCCAATATAAAACTCTGTATCTCTTGGAGGGTTAATTTCAATCTTTTGAAATGAAACGGTGGAGTTCATCTTGTCATATTCTAGTTTCAGATAGTATGTTCCATTTAGTAAAGAGTCGTATTTTTTTTGAAATTCCCAATAATATTTGTTCATTTGAGTTTGAAAGTCATTTAGAGTTTTCTCAAGACTTTCGTCTGAACGAACTGTAAAGATTCTCATTTCGTCAAATTTGTCTATTAGACCATCAGAACCTTTATACTGCCCATGAAAATATACTGCGAACATAAATGCGTTAGTTCTATTTGAAAACAAAACTCTTCTAAATCCTATTGCCTTTGCATCTGAAGGACTTTGAAGCCAACGAATTGGATAGTCAAACCTGTATGTTCGGGATGAAATTTCTTCATCTGAAATAGTCCTACCAGCATTTGTAAAGATATAGTCTAACGGTTTTGTATCTGCTACTTTTGTTCTTTGTTTTTCAGCCTGAAGCATTTAATATATGTAAAAATATATTGTTTTAAAATTGTATGCCATTTCATATTTCTCATCTAACAAACAAGTTTCCCAACTCTGCTTTTATTCTAGCAGATTTTCTATCCATTCTATATGGGGGCATTTTTATAAAAATAAAAAAATATTTTTTTCTTTACTTAACATAACCGCCTGCTGCCATAAGTCTTTGACGCCAACCCATACCAGCTAATGAAGGTTGACTTGGTTTAGTTTCCAAACTAAACTTTGGTTTTGGTTTATCTTCAGTTTTTGGTTTTTCTTCTTCTATCGGTTTTTCGTCACTTTTCGGTTTCTCTGACTTTACTTCACTTGCAGGAACAGTTGTGTCGTCAACATCTTCATAAATATCATATGCCATTTGTTTTTGTTTTCCTTTCAACTTTTTGTGTTTGTTGTAAAGTTTAGAATATTTCGACTCTAAGTCAATGAGATGTTCTATAATGAACTGTTGGTCAGTGAAGTAAACTTTTCCATCTGTTGTCTCGAAAGCTCCTTCAGACTTCAATATTTTATTTGTGAGAGTCTGGTTCTTTTTTGAGATACTTGCCGTTCCATTTTTATGAAAAGTGACTTTGTAGTTAGGGTTTGTATTTCCAGACCTGGCACTTTCTATTATTGAATTTTTCTCTTCATCTGTAAGTTCTTTGACAGGTTTTGACAATGGTTCTGAACTTTTTGTTTGTGGTGTCAAATCTACCGTTTCAACTTCTTCGGTCATTTCATCTCAGTAAAAAATTTTAGTTTGGTTTGTTTTCAACTGGTTGTTGTTGTTTTTTAAGTCGGTCTAAAACTTCCTGAGGTATAGGAAGAACTTGACAAACACGTGGTGTAACTGCTGGAAGCCGACAAATCCATCTTGAACCCATTTGTCTCAATGCTGTATTGTTCATTTCATCTCAGTAAAAAACTTTACATTCCCCAAGTTTGAGGCGGTTGAGGTTGGTTATTGTTTACCCACTGTTGTGCATGGTTATATCCTCTGTTAAGAATCTTTCACCTTGGTCCATATAGTGTCCTGCTTGGTTATAGTAGTCATTTGCTTTGTTATAATAGTTTCCTGCTTGTCTTCCTACATTGTCCATCCATCCTTGAACTTTTCCTCTTGTTTCAGGATTTGGAATAAGATTTGTTGCATCTCGTGCTACATCCCAACCTTTCTGTACAGTTTGTATAATAGGTTGTGCTTTCTCTTTAAGTATACCTAATGTACTCAAAATCTTCCTTCCAACTCCAAATACACCTCTGGCTATTGTTCCCACTGCGGGCAAAAATCTGGATGCAACTCCTGCTAATGCGCCAAATAAACCCATTTCTTATAGGATAAAAAATGACGAATCCAAACAAGGACCCCTATGTTTCTAAAGCAACAAAGAAAGCACTCATGATAAAAATCTTTAGTTCAACACCAAATGCTTGGTTTATGGATATCTTGGAAAACATTCCGAGGTATAGAGAAGATGGACCACCATACTGGTTAATATTTGTCGGTCAAAAACACAAGATACTGTGAAGCCATACCATTATGGTCCAAAAATATTTTAGATGTGAAAACTGCTTTGACAATATTCGTTGACAAATACCATCCAACAAAACTGACATCTGACTGTGAAAGTTCTTTCAAATCAGATGATGTAAAAAACTATCTGCGTTCAAAAAATGTAAACCAATATTTCATTGTCGACCAAAACCATTCTGCTCTTGGTGTCATTGACGGTTGTATAAAAATGTTAAGAGACTTAAACCAACCACAAGGTGGTGAAGCAAATGAAATGTCATATGACGACAAATATAGACACTTCTCCATGGCAAAGATGAGACAAGTTTTAAATATTTACAACAGCCGTAAACAAAAAGGTTTGGGAAACCACTCCCCCGAAGAAATGAAAAACAACCCTGACTTAGAGAAAGACTATATATTTAATAATTTAGTCAAAAGAGACAAACAAGAAAGAATGCCGGGCTTCAAACTTCAGAAAGGTGACAAAGTAAAAATAGAAATACCTAAACGCGACCCATATGAAAATACTATTGACTATGACAACAATGGGAACCCGACAGGTACTCACATTCGTGTTCGTAAAAATAGAAGAAAGTATACAAGAGAATATTATGAAGTTTTAGGCAAACATGGCAAAATGTACAGACTGCAAGCAGAAGATAAAACTACTATTGTCAGACCTCGTTTCAAACTTGTCAAAGTTCAAGGTGGTATACTTTCAAAGACAGTTCCTAACAAATATAAGACAACTCCTGACGAATATGCTAAAGAAGTTGAAAATGACGACTAAGCATTTCTATACCATGCGTAAACTGTCATGTAAGGTGGCATGTATTCTTTACTTTGTCCCGTTGTTTGCGTATATCCTGAAACGTGATGTGTATGGTTTCCTCCTCCCTCAGTGTTACTCCAGTAACAATTTATAGCAAACTTAACGTTGTCTTTAACATCATATCCTTTACCTTTTATCATTGCTGACCAATCCCAATATCTATGCTTATGCCAACCTGCTTGAGATGTACTTAAATCTATGTAGTGACTGTGTGCAGGTAAATTTTCACCTGAAATCGTTTTACTTCCACCTGTTTCCTTTGAAGAGTTTGCACAATACAAAAACCTGTCGACTATTTGAGTCCAAGTTCCAAAACCAAGTACTACTTCTGGTCTGGTAGAGTTCATTGACGTATAAATAGAGCCTATAGGATATAATGTTTGAAGCATTTCTGTCTTTAATGTTTGAAGCTCTTTTTTGTCTGCTTTCTTGTCATATAAATCTTGAGCAGTGAATTTAATATTATGTTCATCCTTCATGACATAAACATCTTTACATCTAATGTTTCTCATCGTCGTTATGTCGTCATCCGATGTTAAACCTTGTGGAAAGTTAGGAGGTTTACAATATAATGCATCCCCACCAGTTTCTTCAACCGTTCCTTCAATACTTTCTATAGCAACAGTTGTAAAACTTGTATGTGTATGAGTCTTATTTGCTTTCTTCTCTAACTCATCGTTAACATAAGTTTTATCTGCTTTAAGGTCTAAACATCCTGAAACCCATCCTGTATCAGCTTTAGTTTTTAAAATCTTCGATGTCCATTCATGATACCATTCAGCCCTTTCTATAATTTCATTATCTTTTTCATCCACATATTCCTTATCTGCCTTCTTCATTAATTCACTAGCCATAAGTCCCTTATCCGCTTTCTTTTCAAGGCTAACGTTTAAGTCTGTTATTTCAGATATAGAATGTGTATGTCCAACGTCACTTTTACTGTTTAAGGTTTCTTGTAAGTTTGTAATATTTGCAATGGTATGTGTATGTCCAACGGCACTTTTACTGTTTAAGGTTTCTTGTAAGTCTGTTATTTCAGATATAGAATGTGTATGAGTCTTTTTAGAATATTCGTTTTCAGCTCTTGTCACTTCACTTGACATTTTATTGTCAACATATGTTTTGTCTGCTAGTTCAGGATGAGTATGTTCTTTTGTTGCATAAGCATTGTTAGCTCTTTCTTCTTCTTTTGCTATTGCATCGTCTACATATTCTTTGTCAGCTTTGTTGTCAACATCTGCTTTCAAAAGAAGTTCATTTATAGGTTTCTCGTTTAAAGTTCCTTTTGTTGGATTTATACAGACAGTATGGTTCTTCTTGTCTTGAAATAGAAACTCATCTGTCATTGGGTTTAATGTCAGTTTTAAGTTTCCTTCTTTCAATGACTCAGATATCTTAGAATAGTTTGAAAAGTTTGTTGTGTTCTTATTTAGAGCTTGCATAATGAGTTGTCGGTTGTGTTGTATTTCTCTCATGGAAGCAATATCTTTCGACATTTTTATTCTAGATAAAATATGCTTTCAATAGAAAAAGAAAATTCAAGAGTTGCTACAACTAAACCATTAGATGAACTTTTTACTAATGTCGGTCAAAAGTTTGAGACAGAGACCGTAAAGCATGAAGGCTATCGTTTTGACTACCCATTAAGATGGTTAAGAGACCCATCTGTCACAAAAGCTATTGGCTTTCGTAGAATGAAGTTCATTTCAGAAGCCATACATGGTTTCCCATTTACGGTCGGTTTTGAAGTTCGATACTATAACAAAGAAAAACGTATGTATGAGAAATTTGAACAGGGAAAACTTTTACAAGTTAGTTTGCTTGTAAACTTAGAAACAACTCTTCAAGCTTTTCAAGAAAAAATAAACGATATCTATATCGAATATGCAAAACAGTATAACATTGACGAAGGAGAATACCATCTCGATATTATTTATGACAGGAAAAATGCAACTGTTAAAATCAATAGAATAGAAGACCTTGGAGAAAACGTTTATATTTCTACAAAATATAACAACTTGGCATGGTATAGATTTTTGAGGATGTTAAATCAGCCTGCAGCATATCCAGTACACCCAGACTTTTATGAAGTCGAAAACCCTAATGGAACATATGAAAATGTTTTCGACCCAGCTGCTATTATTGTTCATGCTTCATTTTCTGGCGCCCAAAACTCTTTCTTATGCTTGGCAAATGACTTTTACGAAAAACCTACAAAGTTATACGAACCACCAAGTGGAAGTATTTCAGACTTTCAAGTATGGTTTACTACAGATGGAAGAAAAAGAATAATTCCATTATACCATGCGTTTTACTTAGAACTTAGTTTCATATACAACTACTATCGAACGGTAAAAATATAATTTTTTAATACGGTTGAGGTGTTGGATTTGGTTGCCAACTAGACTGTGGTGCAGGTTCAGGCTGTTGTATAACAGGAGCTTGCTCTTCTGGTTCAGGGTCTTTAGGTATAATACCAACGAACTGACCTACTCTTTTACCAATATTTTTGACACCGTTCCATACTCCTCTTCCGACAGATTTTATTCCATTCCATATACCTCTTCCAACATTTCGAAAGAAGTTTCCTATCTTACTGAAGAAACCCATTTTACTATATGTAAAAATCTAATGTCCGCCTAGTCTCTTACGTTTCCTGTTGAGTTCCATAGCATTCTTTAACTGGAGCTCATACATTCTGTTTCTCCTCTGGTAGAAAACATATTCTGGGTCAACTCCTGTGTTCGCGTCATCTGCATAAAGTTGTTTATATCCCACTTCAGGGTTTGTATAAAACTCTTTCCATCTCATATTTGCATACCATGGTGGCAAACCTAACGCAGCGTCATTTGACATGGCAGTTTGCATTTGTACATCTGTTGGCACTTGACCATAGTTTGCCATTGCAGTTTGTATTCTAACTTCATTTGGAATATTCTCTGGGTTTGGTTGTCCAGGTTGCTGTGCATTCGCTAAGTTCTGTGCGTCCATTTAATATTAGATAAAAATATCTCTTACGAGTACATATACTGAACATTTGCAGGCATTGGTTCATCTTCATATTCTCTATATCTTTCTGCCACGTCAAATAAATAAATGACACAATGGAAAAAACCTAAAACAAGTAGTCCTATTTCAAACCACATTTACTTACTAATAAAATTTCTTTGTTATGACACTTTCTCCGGTTTATAGGACCTCTCTCATATTCTATCTTGTCATATATAAACTCATAGTCATGTATGTCCTCTAACCATCTCATAACGGTTTCCAAACCACTTTTATCGGATGTAAAGTAAAAGCATGGACAGTTATGTAAAACGTCTAAAGTTTCTAAAGAGTCTCTCAAAGTCCAGTCTACTTGGTATTGAAAATCCCATGTGTTATAGAACGGCGGGTCCACTATAAAGAAAACATTTTCCTTGTCTTTATATTTTTCATACAACTCTGTCCAATAACATCTCACAAACTCTATACCCTCAATATATTTTTCTATGTCCTCTTTGAAAACATTTGTATAGTTAAGATATAAAACTTTTGACATAAGTGTTTCAATGTCATGAACTCTTATAGAACCACTATATAATAGTCTAGCAGATATACTATCCCAGTCTATATATTCTGCTTTTTTCAAAACCTCTCTCACAATATTTTTGTTATCTAATGGTATACGTTCCATCTTACCTATAGGTATCTTTTCTTTTAACTCTTTCAATATATTGTTTGTGTCTGGAATATGTTTGAGACGGTCCATATAGTTGTCGAAGTCATTGCATATAATCTTTGAGTCTGGGAATATTGTATGACATAAATGGGATATATAGAAACTTCCACCGAACAAATCTACAAATGTTAGACCATTCGGTAGTTTCTTAAGTTCTCTCAATATAATATCTTTACATTTACTCTTATTTCCAAAGAACGGTAACGGAGGTTTTGTAAAATTCATTTATATATAATAATAAAAATGTTTTTACCCGAAAAGTGACAGAAAAGTGACAAAGCATGAAAACATATATAATTTGTGAAAAGTGAAACATTATATAATGTTTTCGACCCAGAAGAAGGCTTCTTCCCAGAAGCAATGGAGGAAGAAGAAGAGTCCTCCGAATTCACACCAGAAGACTAACAATTTTCCGAATAAAAACTTCATTTATACTAAACATCTTCGGGGCTAGAGGGCACGAAGTGCCTGGAAGCCCCACTACCTTTTTTTTTTAATATGAAAAATAAAATTGACTTTGATTAAATGTTTTTATTTATCATGCAATTCTTCTTGCGACCAAAGATTTGAATAAAATTTCAAAAAATAAGATAGCTTAAAAAATAATATACGGTAGTGTTTACTAATAGATGAATAGTATATAAATTCTATTAAAATGGATTTGATCCAAAAAAATATAAAACCAAAAATAATTGTTATAATTGAAATGAAGAAGTAATTTAAAACAATTTTATTTATGATCAAATTTTATATATTTTTTTGGATCAAATCCATTTTAATAGAATTTATATACTATTCATCTATTAGTAAACACTACCGTATATTATTTTTTAAGCTATCTATTTTTTGAAATTTTATTCAAATCTTTGGTCGCAAGAAGAATTGCATGATAAATAAAAACATTTAATCAAAGTCAATTTTATTTTTCATATTCAAATGGACTGAGTGTTAACATTTAACATTTTTTGCTAATTGTCGTCAAAAATTAGGCGTAAAGCAAAAATTGATATTTCATATGGTTTTATGATAGATAAGCATTATATTCCCACTCATTATATTCGTAAATTTTGAGGTTTATCCTTCGCTTTTAAGATCATTGAATTTGATTTTTATATAAAATAGTTATATATTAGAAAATAATATGAGTTTATGTGATATTATTTTTCAGAAGATTTCATTCTATATGCCTATGAAAAGTACTCTCAAAACTAACTTTTTCCTAATTATAATTAAATCTAGAATATTGTATTATGCTTAGTATTATTTCATTTTTCTCATTCAATTTAGAATTTACAAATGTCAAAAAATTGAGAGCTGTCACTTTTGATGAATTTCTGTTTATTACAATTCCAAATTGATTTTAGATTTGTGGGGAGCGTCAAAAAAATTGTCACCTTTATTCGTTTGATCAAAAATCATCAAAAGAAAAGAGTATCTTATATCATTTACTGGACAATAGTCTCTTACTGTAAATCCCTATCGACCAATACCTCAATGTACAACATTTAAACGCCTTTTTCTGCTCTTCATGAAGCATTTCGTTTGGTTCCTTCACAACAGGTCAAAGGTTATCGATTTAGAGAACATAGCATAGAGAATTATTGAAAAGGATGTGTTTGGTTTATATAGAAAACATTACATTTTTCGCAAGACTTTTTGTTTACTTTTTTATCGGCGTGAACTTTGAGATTTCTCAAGGGCAAAACATGATTGGATTTAGATTGTATAATGCGAGCATTTATAAAAGATTATAGTTTCGAGTTTGTATTAGAGTTTTTTTGATTAAGTTTGAATAGAGAAATTGAAAAAGAATTGTAAAATTATTGCCTTTAGATTTCCATAGTTCAGGGATGCAGAGTTCCACTAGAGGTGAAGCGCATCACTTGGTTGTTTTTATTACAATTTCAGAAAATGTAATTAATATTTCTCGTTTTTAGACAGATTATCTTCTCAGAGTCTGTTTATCATATATATTCATAATAAATTCAAATATAATAGTGCAGTGATTTTTGGCATAAAAACACTTTGAATTCTATTAAGTCTCATCGGAAACTGTAATAACAAAGAATTTAAAATAAATTAGACCGTCAAGATAAACGCCAGTAAAAGAATTCAATGTATACAAATTCTTTTTAAAAAATACATCATCATTATCATACAGGTTATATGATTTAAAAAAAGAAAAATTGAAATGAATTATCTTTATAAACTTTTCAGGGAATTTTTTTTGTCAGCAATATATATAACTATCACTGATCAATAATTAAGCGTTTGGATTTGATAATGGCCTCAATCTTCACAAAAATCCAATCAATTATCTCAATATTTTAACGTGCATATTTGATTGGTATATTAAAAATAATAACAATTCGTAATAATTTTTTTGAATTGATTAAATTTTTTATCAACAAATATTATATTTACTTAGTATATAATCTGATTTTTAAATAGTTAAAATTTTTGATATTTGAATGCTCAACTCAATTTTTATTTAAAATTTATATGATTTTCCTTTTCGATGTGAATCTTTTAGCAGAAAGGTCCCCAATATTCAACGGAAGTTCAAACTACATAGTCTCACCGCCACCTAGCAATGACCAACCTCAAGATATTATCTACGGGACCCATTCCTTTTTTATAAAAAAACATAACTACTCACTACGTTCGCAAAAACACAATTATTGTTTTCCATCCTTTTAGACATTCGACAATAATTTCAGGAACGGCGATTTCAGGGAAGCTTCGCAAAGAATTTCTTGGTGATACAAATGTATTTGCAGTTAACTTCAAAACGAAAGGAATATTAGAATTAAGGTCAAATATTGGATCATCATATATATTTGCTTCCATGTTTGATGCAGAAAAAACTGGAATTGGCTGTAATGTTTTTTACATATCGGTTGGAAATACTACTATTTTAAGTGCAGGACAGGGTTATTCTGATAACGATACACGATCATATGATCTAGAATTGAAATCAGGAATTAAATATTGTACCCTTTTTGCATTTGTTCCTGAGAAAGTATCTCTGAAAATACAATACAATCCTCTTGCAAATGTGACTATCTTCGATGAATATGGCCTTCCTGTCGATTCAAATGATATTCAAACGCCTGTTTTCATTCGATCGTCAGTTTCAAGTTCGAAATCTTCTTCCTTCCATGGCATTGCCTATCTTTATGCCTCAGTTCAAGTTCTCGAATATCCATATTTTTATGGGCTTCTTGATTCAGATGAGTCGTTAGGATATACTTATTCAACTGTAGATTCATCTAGATTAACCGTTTTAGCTGTTACCATATCAGCTATTTCCTGTATATCATTATTATGCATAATATCAGGAATTTACTACATGTTCTTTTATCGGAGAACATATTTTCTCAATAAGGAGGATGATGAAGCACCAGATATAGTTGAAAAAGTATATTATGATGATAGAATTTCAAGTGGAGAGCTAGATTCTGGTAAAAACATAGATTCCATCGAAGAAAAGGATTCTGACATAGATTCTTGTAATGATCAGGTTGAACCAGAACCAACTAGAGTTTTACAAATGAATCCTTATGAAGATTCTGAGCTTTGATAGATTTTATAAGTTCAGCATTGATATGTATCTTTATATATTATAGTATATTAGAAAATTGTTTATAGATTTTGTTTTTTTATAAAAAAATGTTAATATTATTCGGAAAATACTTTTGTTTCTTGAGGAAAGACTTGTTAATTCCTTTCCAGCAACAAACTTGCAGGAGATTTCAAAATGAGGCACTTTCGAAACAAAATATAATACATTTTTAGCGCAAAATACTGGAAATTCAAATGGTAATTCCGTAAGAGTTAATTTTTTCCATGTGATGAATGTTTTTTCACTTTAATGGTTTAGTGATAAATGTTTAATTTTCCTGTCTTTTGATTTTGATGCCGGAGCCTCCAGTGATAAACCATTAGTGAAAACTTTTTTTCAATGATCAAAAGACAGGAAAGAAAATTGAAGAAAAACCTGCTTCTGACCTTTCTCAGAGGAAAAAGTCAAAGCCACACTCTAAGAAAAACTCTGTTTCTAATCAGAACAACACTGACAGACTTCCTGTGAAAAATAAAAGATCTAGATCAGTGAGGAAGCCACGTGAAGAGTTCCCTAAGCCATAATTATATTTGTTATAGATGTTGTATTTAGATATTAGTTATGTTTTGCGATATTAAATTTGTTTTTTAGATCTTTTTTTTTAAATTCCTTTTTTTTCAAAAATAGATCTATAAACATAACAAAACTCTAATCAAATGTATGCTTACAAGAAAAAATACATTTTCTTAATATCTTCCTCACTTATATCTTCTTTAAAATTTAATTTCATCTGAAGTGTAGAGAAGAATACAAATTCACAGCGAAATTGTTTGATTTATTAAAAGTATATTTCTCATCATGCACAAATTTTGTGGGTTCTAAAATTCCATTTTCCAAAGTTTCCACATTTATTTCATTCAATGAAAATATGCTCAATATACGTACCAATCTATGTAGGAACAATGTGCTATAGATTGTATCCCCTATAGCTCCTCAGATAGAAAGATGGAAACATCCAAAGTCTCTTTAGAAGTGAATGTTTTTTAAAATTAACTCTGGAATAAATGTGGAGTGTTAAATCCATCAATTGATATGTTAGGTGGCATTGTTCTCATTATGAAAAGGTACTTTTTACTATTTTCTTGTTCCTATTTAGCCCGAACGAGGATTTGAAGACAGAAATTTAAACAGTAAATTTATTGTGGTAAATTTTTAATTCAATAAAAATTTGACACTTATGAATTTCACTTCATTTTTTATAGTGAACAATGTTAGGAAGGTTCATAACAAGCGGTTATGAAGATGAATTAGAATTTGATTCTCTTGATATAATAGGTTTTCAGTACAACACATTTTTAAATTTTAAAATTAAACAAGTTCTAAAAGGCTACTCAAGCTCTGACATTGGATATTCATTTCCAATTGAAACTAAATCTACTATTTCAGATATTCTTTTTGTTATTGGTGATAAACAAATCAGACCTCAGCTTAGAATGTCAGAAGAAGCATCCAAAGAATATCAGGAGTCAAAAGAAAAAGGATATTTATCATTGCTTGGAAGAAATTCATCAGGAAATGGTATCATTTTCAATTTCGGAAATTCTCCAGATGAAACTAAAATTGAGGTCCATTACACGATCTCTTATTTGGCAGAAGTAAACAATCAAGGATTTTTCTTCAGATTCCCTATTGCTTCAAAATATCAGCATGGATATGAAACTTCGTTGCCGAGATCAATTTCATTTTATCTCAAAATCAAAACAGATAAAAACATAAGTAAAATAGAAGCAAACAATTCAGCAACAATCAATCAGTTTGATAATCATAATGCATTCATCAATCTTGACAAATTTGAACCAGCTATCTTTGTTCAAACTTTGATAAGTGATCAAGACAAAAGCACTGCAGTTTCAAGTGATGATTATATAGTAGTATCTACATATAAAGAATTTAGCTCCAAATCAAATTGCTATGAATGCAAGGCGGATTATTTCTTTGTTATTGATCGTTCCGCATCAATGGAAGGTGATCGCATCGAAAAAGCAGTTAAATGTATGCGTCTTATGCTACAATCTCTTCCTATGATGTGCAGATTCTCAATAGTATGTTTTGGATCAGAATTCCAATCATTGTTACCAATTGTTGAATATAACAATGAAAACGTTTTGCTTGCTATGAATCTTATTAAAAATATTAATGCAAACATGGGCGGAACAGATATATACCATCCATTGGAATATATCTTCTCACAAAATGGAATGACTAAGAAAATTTTCCTCTTAACAGATGGCGAGGATAGCAATTCTGAAGATATCATTAGATTAGTCCAAGAAAACAAACAATTTGGAAACATTTACACGGTTGGAATTGGATCTGGTGCAGATTCTGGTCTTATTAGGAATCTTGCTGAGGTAACAAATGGCAAGTGGACATATGTTTTAGATAATGAGAATTTCAATGAGAAATTAATTTCATTACTATCTTCATCTATTGAATCTAACTCGGTAGATATTACAATACATGCAAATGAAACAATTGCTGAGACAATTCCATCAAATCCATATCCTTTGTGCTCGAATATTTCTCAAAACTATTTCATTAAAGCACCTTTCTGCGAAAATGTTTTGATAAGTTCAGAAGAATTTGATCTGCTTGTTCCCGTAATGAAGATCGAAAATGGTATTGGGATGAAAAGCCTATTTACAAAGATGATTATTCATGAGTATGAAACATATTTGAGAACTCATAATGATGAAGCGATGAAACAAAAATGCATTGATCTATCTATATCATCTGGAATTCTCTGCAAATATACGCATTATATTGGTTCAATCCCAGAAAATGTGATTCAACTTATTAACGAATTCTGGAAGCATCAAAGAGAAATTTGCTATTATTCAAGACCATCTGAGAAAGATTATGAAAAGATGCAAGACATATTCGTTGAATGTCATATGACTCAAAGCCAAGCACCAATTCAAGAACAAAATGATATTGAGATTGTTGATGATCGTGATGAAATTGAGAAACAAAACATCAATGGATCATGGGATAGCTTTGATGCAATGGATTCCGAAATTAAAGAAAAGTATGGTGAAAAAGTTGCTGCTACAGTTGCAGCAATCCTTTATATTATGAGAAATCGCAAATCTCAGATTGATGAGCTATCATTAGTTCTCAAGAAAGCTTATTTCTTCTTAAAGAAAGAAGTCAAGGATATTAATTGGGAAGAATTTATTAAGAATAAGCTTTAACATCAAATGAATAATAATATTTAAACAATGATTGACTAAAAATGAATAATATCTTAAATTAATTCTAAAAGATCAATATATTCACATAATGTTTGTTAATATTTTAATTTATGAAATTTTGATGTTAAAACAGAAGTCATTCAAGCAGATTCATTTCGGTACGGTTACTATATCAAAAATGTAAAGAATAAATGAAAAAAAAAAATAATGGAATCAAATATTGAATAATAACTTCAATTTTTTCTTCCTACATATATATTTTAAGTATTGGTGGATTTGTTGTTCTGCGTTAACTCTAATTCATGTTTCAAAACTCAATCAGTATATAAAATTTATATTCAATATTGAAATCAAATGAAAATCATATACAGAATTATTATGATTCACATGTTGATAATAATGGGCATGATTTTGGTATATTTCATGAAATCAAGTAAATATCATAAAAAAAAATTAATAAGGATAAAAAGAGAATCATTATCAAAAGATAAAGTTTATTTGAGTTCAAAAGTTGAACTTATAAGCCACCACGAAGACGGAGAACGAGATGAAGGGTGGAATCCTTCTGGATGGAATAGTCCTGAAGTGTGTTGCCGTCTTCGAGTTGCTTGCCTGCAAAGATCAAACGTTGTTGATCTGGTGGAATACCTTCCTTATCCTGGATCTTAGCCTTGACGTCTTCGATTCTGTCGGTTGGTTCGACCTCGAGTGTGATGTGTTTGCCTGTGAGTGTCTTGACGAAGATCTGCATACCACCACGAAGACGGAGAACGAGGTGGAGTGTAGAATCCTTTTGGATGGAATAGTCCTGAAGTGTGTTGCCATCTTCGAGTTGCTTGCCTGCAAAGATCAAACGCTGCTGATCTGGTGGAATACCTTCCTTGTCTTGGATCTTGGTCTTAACATCCTCGATACGATCTGTTGGCTCGACTTCGAGTGTGATATGTTTACCTGTGAGTGTCTTAACGAAAATCTGCATTAAGAAAAATGAAGTGCAATGATTTCCATCCCAAAATTTGACTTCTTAAAAAATTTTTGAGAGCAAATGAATTTGATCAATTCAAGTCAAAATTGGATGAAAATTTTGCTCAATAATATATTTTGGATATAATATATTAGATATGATATTAAAATAAAAAATAATTTTTGAAACGATATCTGGAAAATCTTTATGTAAAAAAAATTTCCATACTCAGATAACACTTCATTTTTCTTAATGCAGATTTTCGTTAAGACACTCACAGGTAAGCACATCACCCTTGAAGTCGAGCCAACAGACAGAATCGAAGATGTCAAGGCTAAGATTCAGGATAAGGAAGGTATTCCACCAGATCAGCAGCGTTTGATCTTTGCAGGCAAGCAACTCGAAGATGGCAACACACTTCAGGACTATTCCATCCAAAAGGATTCTACACTCCACCTCGTTCTCCGTCTTCGTGGTGGTATGCAGATCTTCGTCAAGACACTCACAGGCAAACACATCACACTCGAGGTCGAACCAACCGACAGAATCGAAGACGTCAAGGCTAAGATCCAGGATAAGGAAGGTATTCCACCAGATCAACAACGTTTGATCTTTGCAGGCAAGCAACTCGAAGACGGCAACACACTTCAGGACTATTCCATCCAGAAGGATTCCACCCTTCATCTCGTTCTCCGTCTTCGTGGTGGCTTATAAGTTCAACTTTTGAACTCAAATAAACTTTATCTTTTGATAATGATTCTCTTTCTTTATATGATAACATTCAGCTATCCCAATATATGCAATTGTTTTTAAAGGGCATTTCTAGAATTTTCAATCTTTTAAAAAAAAAGATTATAATTCACAAGGATCCACAGGTGAAGTACTCCGAGGATATACCCAAAAGCATTATTTAAGCTTCACAAATAGCTAATACCACTAATGTAAAGAAATACTTAAAACATTTCATTGAATATAATAGAATTTGGTTTTCGAATAATTACAATTAAATACCTATACAAACAATAAGATATGTAGTACTAGAACATAATGAATTGAAGGAATTTCTATAAGATGTATTTTCTGGAGAGAAGGAGAAATGATAGTAAATTGATTTTCTAAAAGGATGATGACATACTACTGAAAATTAGTCCGACTGTGCTGAGTTAAGAGATTTTCGCATACATATGAATCTTATATATCCTCACTAGCCTATAAACAAAATAATTAATCATAAAACACGAATTTGGAAGGTAAGAAATGTCTCTACATAATTCTTGAAAGGTACGTTATTGGGTAAAAAACGTGTAATTCAAAGAATTTAATATAATTAAGAAATTTATTACAATTCGGAGATGATACTAATTTCAGAGCCCAGGAATCTGGATTTTCATAGCATCAAATACGGGCTTGAGTATTTCTATGGAGGTGACAACCATCATTTGGTAGCGTAAAGCTAAAAGGACATAATGAACTAGTAATGTATTTATTACTGGCTCAATGTTGTTATCCTTGATGGAGGAAAAATGACAAACATAGAGATAATTCAGAAATCTTGTAGTTCTGCGGTAAATCGTTTGTAGGACAATTTGAGCTTCATCTCCGAGTTCTGCATTATCGGTTTTAGGGAAAATTTTGGTATCAAATATTGAATAATAACTTCAATTTTTTCTTCCTATATATATTTTAAATATTGTTGGATTTGTTGTTTTGCGTTAACTCTAATTCATCTTTCAAAACTCAATCCCTTTGACACATGATCGGAGGATTTGATCGTACATGATTAGTGAATCCCTTATTAATATTATATACTATATGCTGTTTACTATTTTCCTAATTTTGGTCTCTGAAATTCAAAAAATAAGAGCTGGACTACTTCTTTCCCAAAAAAATTATCGTTCAAAAATTTGCCATAATTTTTCTCAATAAATGTTTCCTGGAGATTTTGGAGGTCCTGGAATGGGTCCAGGAGGTTTCGGCGGACGTAAAGGTTTTAGAGGCCCACCAGGTTTCGATGATTACGGATCTTACGATAGAATGCCTGGTGGAATGCCACCACCATTTGGAATACCCATGCAGCCACCAGGTTTCGATCCATTGAGACAACCTGGCAATCCTGGGCGCGTTGATATTGATTTGATGGGTCCAACAGCTCCATATGATCCAGATCAACCATTTTTCGGAATGCCTGATGTTCCAGAGTTTAGACAACGCAACATTAACGAACCGCCAGCTCGAGAACCCCCTCAGCAAAATCCATTAAGAGATTTTGCTCCTCCTGGAACAATGCCTGGTATAGGAAGCCCCAATGCACCAAATTTAGGTGTTGATGGACAGGGAAGCTTAGTTGTTGGCCCACCTAAAAACACCAAACCAATTGCTCGTGGTGATTTCGAACAAATGCAAAAAATGGGATTATTTGATCCAAAGGATGATGATTTCAATCCAAATTTGTACTCTTAATCAAGATGGTGGATCAATTTTGTTTGATGGATGAGGATTAATGGAAATAATAATATCGATATAAAACTTTAGTATGAAAACTAAGATATAATTGTTAAATTTCTATAACATATTGAATATATCTCAATCACTTTCTCTTAAATGCTTAACTTATTATATGTCATCAATTTTTCATTAAAAATTCCTTTTTGGCAAATCGAATGAGCACAATTGATGTGTGTTGTAACTGTGTCGTTTATATTAATGCTAATAAGTTTTTAATTTCGTTGATGAATTGGCGAAATTTGAAATAATTAATGCCAAAAATGAATCTCATAACAAGCAGAATGATTTGAACACACTCGCATTACTAAAGATCCGAAATAAGTTCGGCATAAAAACAAATGGATTTAATTTTTTTAATCAGCAATATTTTAATATGCATCCTACTCTGCTACTCCCACGGATAATCAGGCGTTGGTAATTACTGGCAGAACCGATAGTCCAACTAGAAATTTTACATCATATAAAATATTGTCACTTTTATTCACAAATTTCCACCAATAAAATTCAATGTTTATTCTGAAGAAAGGGATATCATGAAGGAAATTAGCTTGAATCAAATAATATGTGCAAAAAAGTCGATTTTATTATAAATTACATGTTGATTTATTAGAATTACGTCGAAGTAAATATAATTAAGAGTATCTTTGTAATCGCTGGGGAATCGTAGTATATTTACATCTATCAGGTTCGTAATAACTTAATCAGAAACAAAATAATATCAAACAATACCTTCAAGGGCGAAGGTTTAACAAATAATAATGCTAGTAAAGCAATTCAATGCAAATGTGCATCTGAAAGAAATTTGAAACTGTCGCTTCAAAAGGAAAGGTTGGCAAGTGAGTCAAATTATGACATCACTTGGACATTAGAAAACTTCAAAAATATATGACAGCTAACTAATACGATGAATGAAGTAAGTGCGTATCAATGAGTTCAAGCAGCTTATCAAAATTTTGAATAAAAATTGAATAAGTGCTTGTCTTTCGATTTCTTTTTGAAGCGAATGAGTCTCATGTTGTCTATCAGAGAACGCATTGAAGTCCTCCTGGCATTGAGTAATCAATCAATAAAACTGGTTCGGAATCAATCTTTGTAAAGATTGAATCAATGTCTGCTTCAATAACTGGTTTCTTTTCTATAACTGGCTTTGGTTCTGGAGTTTGGTTAAATGCATGCTCGAAAGAATCCCAGTTTTCAGATAACCAGCAAATCAATGCAGGTTTTTGGCGCATTGCCATTCTGTCGAGCTTCTTAAGCATTGGGGCGTTGACAAATTGAATAAAGTCTAATAACTTTTGTTTTGTTATTGGACCTCGGATAATCTTGCCAAGATAGGGCATTATTTGAACGATCTTCTTTTGGCATCGCTTTAATCTCTTCTGGAGATCAACGCGTTCAGTCATTGTTCTGTGTGTTAAGTCAGGGCGATATCCAACTTTCATTTTTGAAATTGATAATCAAATTGATTACATAAATAAAACTTAACTATACGATAGGTATTCAAAATAGGATTGAAGTAATTATAGTATAATAACATCATAAAGTAGAAATTAAAAATAAAGCTCAAAATTATTTTGCACACAAATTTGAAAATATACCAGTTTTTGAATAAAGCATTGAAAAATATAATAAGCTATAATTAGAACGAAAATGTTAAATGTGGATTTCAGCTTGAAATTAATTGAAGTGTTCAAAAAAATAAATTAAGTTTATGCGTGCAGGTAACATATAATTAAAGAATAATGTTTTATTAATTAGAAGTCGGGTAACCAATAGTTTTCAAAAAATATATAAACTTTTTCTGGGGACCTTTTTAAAACTAACGATCATCTCTGAAAAAGTGAAATAACTGATTATTGCCCTGAATTTTCAAAAATATATTTCGAATATATATTAAGTATTGATTACAATTCTAATATCATAGATAAGTCAACATTATCAATACGGACTTTTTGGAGAAGTTAATAAAAGTGACATATTCATTTCATCAAACAAAAATCATCGATAGTAATTTTTTGCCTTATTGTAAATTATCAACTCTGGAAAAAATAAAAATTCAATATTTTCAGAAAAGTATATTTTGTATTCATATACGATAACTACAAAGAATTCAAAAATGAAAAATTGAGCATCAAAAACATTTGATCTAAGCAATGCATTGGTTTATTTTTCATTATATTTTATTTTCAATAATTAAATTCAATTTAAACCGCCTGGAAAACAAATCAATGTACCTTTATTCTATTTCAACTCCTTAAAATAAATAACGTTTAAAACCTATTCTCACAAAACTATCAGAGTTTTGGAATTGAATGATTCTTTTTGATAATTCATCTTCGGTTTCGCAACACTTCAATGACATCGAATATAAATAAAAAATTCATGAAATAATAAAAAATCTTCAAATTCAAATTGAATATGCATAAAAGTCAGCAATTTAAGCTGTAAAAACTATCTTCTGAAATTAATTGCAATTTTATGAGTATATTGCGCATGAAAAATCATGAATCAATCTTTTCATTCTATTTTTCAGAGTCGATTTTGGTAAAATTGTTCAAAAAGAGGAATAAGTTAAGATTGGATTTCATAATTAATTCCTCCAATGGAATTCTACTATGTTATGACTATACTTGTGTGCGATCACATTTGATGGGGTTTTCTACACTTCAATCTTTGAGTGATATTTTCATTGACCTTTGGTCTTAAGCATTTTCCTTTGAGATGTTACCTAAATGATTTTCTTCATGTTTGTTCCTTCTTACTCAATATCAACACCACAAATGAGCAACATTGTTTTTCAAATTTATTAATTTTTAGACAAAGTCATATTCAGTATCTGGGAAAACAAACATTTGCTTATTTATTTGGGTACACTCATTTCGAATAGCATAAAGATAAAATGGCGATTATTGAATTAATTTTGAAAGCGTTTTGAATCCTGATTGCTGTGGATTGGGAATGACCTCATAATTTGAAAAAAAAAAGATTAGTAACATATGTACTGAATCTTTGAAAATGCGATTTGATTTGGTTAAAAAAGGGGTTGGCGTCCTAAGGCGTCCTAGTGTAAATTTCTCAAAATTGTGATATTTACATCACATTTTTGAGAGGTTTATGGGCGTCCTAAAGGAAAATTGAATAGCTAGGGCGTCCCGAATTTTCATTCTAAGATTTAAATATATTATATACTTAAGTATAATACAAGCAATATAAAAATTAAATTTTTATTATGTTAACTTATAAGAAATTTTTTTGAATTATCGTTGATTTATTGTAATCTTTCCAGGCTATACTTTTGAAATCAACTTTACCTGTCATACGCATTAATGTAGTAGATGTCCAGGTGTAGCTATTATATCCCAGCAATATTGGTATTTTATCATTGTAAGATATCAAAATGAAGCGTTTTTTCAGATATAATTTTTCGTAAATTTTTCAAAAATAAGATGGTAAAAAAGCCTCGACTTGCTCGAAAAATAACAATTTTTTTACTTGTAAAAATAACCCTTTTACAGCATGGGCAGCTATTCAATCACTATTTCTTTTTCTAAAAGTATATTTTTCAAAAAAAATTAAGATCAAATTCGACAATTTCTTGATGAAAGCAAAAATATTACACATACTTCTAGATGCATGGGATAAAATATGCAATTATTCAATCAATTCGCATGATTTGAAAAAAAAAATCTAAATTTGATAAAAATGTAGAAAATTTTTATTTTTAACTTGAGATTCGATTTTTTTGATCCAATTTGTGAATTTTTTTTGATCGGAATTTCAATTAATTTGTTAGTAGTATATGTTGAAGGGTTGTGTGACTTTTTTTGTAAACGTAAGAATTCATACAATATTGAACGATTTTGTATCATTTTTTTTAACATATGAAGTAAAAAATGTATGTTTCTTACGGTTTTTATTCTTACGTTTTTGAATAAATCAAGATTTAAAAAATTTTCAAAATTGTAAGACATTTACACTCAGCCCATACATAATGAAATAAAAAAAAATAAACTTTAAAAATTCATGTCTTACATTTCTGAATAATTTATTTTTATTTTGTATGAAACCGATTTTAAAAATTTATGAATAATTTATAAAAAGTTTTTATTCCTACAATTCCTATATTACCATTAATAAAAAGAATATATTTTATAATAGTTTCATTTCGAACATGTTAAAATTTATCTGCATTTCGAAAAATTTTATTATAAATGATAATATAATTTATTAAATTAATATATAACTTATGAATTTTTACTTTTTGTATGAAATAAAATTTAGTATTAATAAAGTTATAAAATAAATTGGTGCATGTTAGATGTAAATAAGATATAAAAAGGTGTTTATGAATACTTTAGCAGAACTTCTACTGGTAGAGTTTATACTGGAGTAGTATATATGATGGGTTGTGTGACTTTTTTTGTAAACGTAAGAATTCATACAATATCGAGCGATTTTGTATCATTATTTTAACACATTAATTTTAAAATAATTTATTTATTTATTCTTACATAAATGACCCAACAAGTAAAACCAGATAAAATAGATTATCGAATTTTAGAGGATGGTGTATGCCGTTTATATTCAAAGATTTAAAGGGAAGCAATATTATAGAATTGTTAATCCTGAATACATAAAACATTAATGAATATGAAACCAATAAATCAAAACTGAGATATAAATATATTGGAAGTGATGAAAGATGCAAAGATAAAGATAAAGTTTATTCAGTTTCATATAATGAATGGAAAACCAATAAGATAAGAAAACATTTAGGAGATTATGGTAAAAGATTCACTACCATAATGAAATAAACACATTAAAAAAATTAACATTAATTTTAAAAGAAGCTATATATAGATGATGTCAGATATTCCATGATTAATTAAACATTGTTTAAATCATGAATACATAAAACATTTATTTAAAAATTCATGTCTTACATTTCTGAATAATTTATTTTTATTTTGTATGAAATGAGTGTCAAGACTAACGACGTTAAAAAATTAGGATTCACAAACGGGGAAATAAAGGATATATTAGAGGAGGCAGGTTATGAAGTTAGTAAATATTATTTAAGAAATTGTCAAAAATTCACGGAGTTTTTAAATGAGTTTGGTTATGATGGAAAAATGAATAAAGATGATGTTATAAATTTCTTATATCCCACATCTGAAGAAGAAAAACCTAAAGAACCTGATGTTTTCCCTGAATATTATGAAGAACGGATTAAAGATGATGAATATGATGAAATTGAAAGACTGGAAAAAATAAGAGATGAAATAGATGAAAAAATTAAGGAATTAAGAGAAGTTGAAAAATATAATGAAAATGAAGTAGAGGGTTTAATGAATATCCCAGCTTCAGAATCAGCAGTTCAGAAATCTCATGAAGAAAGATATAAAAATTATGTCTTAGAATCAACACAAAATTTATTAGATGGTGATATTGACGAAACACTTTCAGAAGAAGGCACAAAATTTATTCATAAACATAAGCTTCAGTTTATTGACGATGGAGATTATCCATGTATATTACTTTCACCTCCTCTTGATTCTGAAAAATTCAAAAAAGCACTGAAAAATGTAACATATGCAACAAATACGATTAAGAAAGAAGATCATGATATTTACACAAATTATTATTTAAATAAATGTACAGGTGTTGATAAAGTTTTTGATTTGTTAGATAAAATATCAAAAGAAACAATTGGTACATATAAAATTTTATGCGATTGTGGTTTCATTATTGAAGATACCAATAATGTTTCATATGAAAGAACAGCACCGAAGGAAGACGAAGTTGAAAGGTCTATACCATTCGTTATTAAGAACATAAAAGATATGAAAACTTATAAACATTATATTTATTCATTTATTTCAGAAAAAATGGAAGCAACCCATAAAACATCATCTCATCATTTTATAGCTATTCATACATTCCTTTTCAAAGTTGTGAAATTAAATAAGACAGGAATTAGATTTAATGTATCAGGGTACACATTCTTGAGTAAATTAAAATGTATTCGTCACGTCGCAGATGATAAAAATTTATGTGTTCTTAATTCATTTTATGGGCTTTAGCCCTGGACTCTCTGAGTCTCGGACTTTAAATAAAACTAACTTTATTTTTATTTTTTAATTTTTTTTCTTACATAAATGAACAAAAATGGAACAGCTAAAATGAATGATAATCAAATAAGAGCCGAAGGTAGAAGGTTATTTAAACGCTTCTATAACATTCCTGATGGTGTTAATCCTAAAACTCGTAGAAGTTATTTAAATGAAGCCATAGATGCATATGAAGGATTTGACATTTCATCAGAAAGTGAGAGGTTAGCAAGAATGTTAAACGTTAATATTGATTTTTATTATTGTGACCCTCAACCAAAAGACGTAGATATTAACAAGGTAGACTTTCCATTAGTGGAATCAATAATGAT